TAATAGTTATCGTCCTTGTTATAGTAATAGTAATAGTAGTAGTAGTCGTCGTCGACGTAGTAGTAGTCGTAGTAGTAGTCGTCATCGCCGTAGTAGTAGTAGTCGTAGTCGTAGTCGTAGTCGTAGTAGTAGTAATAGTAGTAGTAGTAGTAGTAGTAGTAGTAGTAGTACTAGCAGTCGTCGTCGTCGTCGGCATAGTCGTAGGAGTAGTAGTTTTTGTAGTAGTAGTAGTAGTAGTAGTAGTAGTAGTAGTAGTGGTAACTGAAAGTGATGAAAACAACTTCCGCGGTAATGATACAAACACGGTTCCATCAAAACTGCCCCCCAAATCCTCGTGCTCCCTGTCTGCGCAACTCCAACTGGCATAATCCGCTTCACCCGTCACAACAAAAACTTCTTCGAGCAGCTTTGGTTGCACAGAGAGTTCCTTTTACAAGACGCCTTCTACTCAACCCTGCAGAAGCCCCCCTCATGACATGAGGAACCAAATTCGGCTGGATATCAAGAGCGTTTGCAAGTAGTCGAAGATCCCTGGCCATCGTGGCTCGGCAAAGTGATCGCAAAGGTAAAAGAACCTCCAGCGCGGGCCCATTGGAAGGAGGCATCAGTTACGGCATGTGGCAAGACTGACTGCCACATCATACAGATCGCTATAGCCGCGGAGCTGTTGGTTCGCAGCAGCAGCGAGGGTCGTGATAGTAGCTGTGATGAGACGCAGGATATCCCATTCATGAAAGCCAACATCAACATGGTAATAGCACTGGCTATAGCATCAAAAGACCGAACAAGTGTACAAAAGCAGGAATCATGAGAGAACTGGCAGCACAAGTGAACACAGCTTCTGCACGGAAACAGCATACTTGTGGCAACGGCAGAAGACCAGGTTGGGATGAGGGCTTCCGGTTCAGGCTTTGGTCTGCACTGAACCTGCCTCCAACCGGCAAGATCCGTTTGCATTTTCATTGCAAGATCCGACGAAGCGGCGGAATACAGGACTCTTGGGGAGTTCAGAGGGCTTGACGAGCTTTTCCTTCGTGTTCCCCCTAAAGTCCGGTGAAGGGGCTTCGACTCTCAAGGGCCTGGAGGGCTCCTCTCCTAGAGCGAACACTTCGGCATGCCATATGTACTGTACCTGCATATAGACAAGTTGGCCACTACTCACCTTGCTAACAGCACAAAGCCACGAGCTGAAACGGAGTTTGTCCACACCAAAGCTGTGGAAGCAGGAAGTGTCACCTAGTGCACTAGAGGTGGAAGCCTCTCACAACAAAGATCCTCCTTATGTTTGGCAATGGGGACCCTGACATAATGCAGCCACTGAGAGGGATTCCCAACTTGACTACCCTGAAGTGACCGCCAGTGCGGCGCAAAGGCAGCGAGACGCAGCTGAAGACCCAAAGGATGTTGAAGCCCAGGAATGAACCCATCCTTTGCAAATCACCAAGCTTACGACTGAAGGTCGTGGCTTCGAAGGGTAGGCTTGTCGGCTTGAAAAGGCTGGGGGCTTTCAGAAGTTCAACAGTAAGCCCGGTTGGCTGCATCCTAGTGGGTAGCTACTCGACACCTTCTGAAGGAAGACAAAGAAACAAGCATTACTGCTGAGTCAGATGGTCGAGTGTCGATCTGTTGCATGGCACACCACATGGACTTGCAGACATGCCTTTCAATCATGCACGCAGAGACATTTAACGTGCTTCTCCATCACAGGCCCTGTGATATGACTTTCGGAGACCGTGCCTCTGTCCTGAGAACATCTACATCCAACTTTTCCAAGCCAATGCAACTTGTAAACATGCCTCCATCCCGGGAAGAGCAAGTAGGAAGTACAGATGGCCCACGACCCCAATACAAGGTCCCTTCCCAAGTTGCTAAAACCATACAGTTTGGCAAAGGCTCACATATGAGAGAAGACAGTGGACCGGTGCACCACCCCGCCAAAGGCCAGCCAAAAATGTCCTGGGAATAGCGCATGTAACAGTCGGGCGACCAAAAAAGGCTTCCAAAGCCTCTGCGGGGCGAGGTAGCGCATGCGCTGTGACGGTGACTCTTCAGCATCATTTACAGGTCATGGCAATGGATTGAAAGCTTGAGAGCTTGTTTCTTCTGGGGCCGGGTATGTGATTTACTGCGCCTCCTGGTGGTCTGTTCGTGTCTGGGTGCTCTCCTCGGCTTCATGGTTGTATCCTGGTGGCATCACTGTGCTTGTGGTTTTCGTGGTCGTTTTGGTCCTTGTAGCTGTCTGGTGGTCCTGGTCGTCTTAGTCGTCGTGGTCGTGGTCGCGGTCGTCGAGACTGCTTGTGTTGACATATCATGCTGTCAGGCGGGGTTGCAACTAGCTCTTCCTACGTGGCTGATACGAGCTTCACGCATTGTCCTGTGGTTGCTCTGCTAACTGAAGTAGTATTGATATTAAGGCACAGGGCCTTCATTGCTGCATGGGTGCTTTTGCTGCTAAGATAAAGACTATACTGTCAGAGTTGGTTCAACTTTCTCGCCGACCGCAACGTATCTCCAAGCGAACCCTTTGCCTCGAAGTGTGTCGGCACGTATCGAACCGACCGAACCGGTCGGTGCCGCAGAACATCGCAACATCCCCCGCCCCACGCCACTTCCGGCTACCCTTCCCACCTGTTTCCGAGAGGCAGCAGGCGGGAATTGGGCGGTGGGAGGTTGGAGGGCGCAGGTTGTGGGAGGTGGGAGGGGTTGGCGTTCTTTATTGTTACATGTATCGATATCGAACCGAACCGAAACTCCGCAATACAGGCAACACACATACTGTTAAACACCGCACAAGTATCGGTGTCGACACGGCTGACGGAACTAGAGTCGAAGCTTACCAGCATCTCAGAGCACCCTTTAGAAACGACAGGCTTAACGTACCAGGATTGCAGAAGTGCCCCGGCGAAAACGAGCCTGATTTACATCCCGTAACGAAATCCACCCGTCTTGTTTAGATGGAACCACACAGTACCGGACCCCTGAACCATGCACGGAAGATCTTGACAAACCCTACACCAGCTGAGCAAACACAAGGGAAGTCTCAAACTGGATGCGATTGCCGGCGAGAGAAGTAGCCTTGGCTTTTGAAACGTCGCAACGAGGACGTCGGCATAGTGTTTGGGACTTCAAGTCTTACGACCTTCGCCACTACGGTTGCCCTAGCTCTCGATGTAAGGATGCCTACAGTGTCCACATCGGGCATTGGGTTTGCGGGGTGTCCAGTCTCGATTTTGGGACATGGCACCCTTGGGATTGCGGGAAGCCTGGCGAGGGAGTCGCATGGAGCTCAGGATGCACCCTACGGATTTCTCAGAATGCACCTGTACTACTCAGTTCAAGATCCGGTCCGGCACTTCAATGTTGTTCAACCCGAAGGTCTGCAATCTGGCTGACTTGTCAGGATAAAGCCACTGCTGAACCCTCAACTTCAAGCAGCAGGAACTCATCTTTTTCAACCTTTGCAGCGTCCTGGTAGGGGGAAGCGAGGCACTGAACCTCAACACCATCTCATAGTCGTAAATGCCTAAACTCTCTCTTCCTGCAGAACCACGTACTGGCAGCAACTGAAAAACCCCGAATCCAACCAGCCCAGGAACAGCGGATAAGCCACGAGCGGGGTTGAGGGACGAGCGCCCAAGAGCTCCTCTGATAAATCAAATCTAGGCGGGGTGAGGCTGACAGGCATCGGTTCAGGAGTCTTACGGAATTTGGGGCCAAGGTTCCTACATCGAGGCGAGGCCACGAGCACATGCTTTGGCATCTGAGAGTCGATATGCAAGTTGAATGGGGGACTTGAATAGGGACGTACATTAGCCGACACCACAATGTACGAACAGACCTTGTGCGATAGACCACACTGGGCTTATACAGAATGTGATGAAAAGCTTAGGAGAGGGATTCCGCGGCTGGCGAACATCCTTACTATGTCATCTTGTTCTTGAAGCTACTTTCTTACTAATGGTTGAGCACGTTCATTGGCCCGCCTTGCCGAGACTCTGTGTTGTGTTCGAGGTAGCACGAGCTGTCGGCTCAGGGGTTTGGAGTTTGCGAAAAACTGTGCGGCTGCCGGGTTAACATGCCCAACTGCTGCCCTGCGCGTCAGACTGCTTAGCGGACCCTCGGGGATAGCTGCAAAAAGGCGAACCAATGCCCTACATGCGCTTGGTGGGAGAGGACCTGAGGTGCTCTTGAACTCCGCGGTACTTTTAAGGCTTGCGGCTGCAAGGAGTCTTGATCCTGGCAAAGAACCCAGGGATTGTGCCGGCTCTAGTCAACAATCCAGGAACTCTGTCTGCAGCCCTACTTTGGAACAACCAGCAAAGCATCCTCACGGAGAGGGCCGCGAACGAAGGCCGTGAATGCCTCCTCTCCACCATACCACCTCACCTCGAGTTCTTCAGTCTGCGGCCCTGTGTCGTTTTCTACTCACTTCAGACAGAAGTGCTAGGCTATTAGAGTAGTGCACGGCGTACACTGCGCAAGTTTCGGTTGTAGGGACTCAAATGACTTCGATGAGCTTCTGCACTTGCCTGGGAGGGCCAAGTATTTGGGAAGTTTGGCTCAAGGACTTCAGATGGTTCAGGTCAAGGAGCAATGGCTGCGTGGATGAAGTCTTTATCAAAGTCGTTGCTGCACTGAACTTTGCCCAGATCGAAGTGCTCCTTGGTAATCAAGTGTCAAGCCAGGAACGAGAACCGAAACAATAAGTAACAGTAAGTGGGCTCCAGCTTCGTCTTGCCAGTCTCCTTCTTGCTTTCTTCTTGGGAAATGTTTTTGCTCGGTGGTCGCGCGGCCGCCAGGTGTCGGTCGCCCTCACTCGCTCGCTCCATCTGAGCTCTCACGCTCTTACCGTCAGAAATCTCTCTCCCACATGCCGACTCTTGCACATACTGCTGCCATTGCCATTGTGCCGGGCCGTTGTTGCTGCTATCCCTAGCGCTCGGACTAGCGCTAGTCGCAAGTCGCAGACCACACTCCGGCTCGTAACACCATCGCAATAATGGCAAAGCGTGGCTCCCTCTCAGGATCTGGAAGCCCAAGCGCAACCCTACCCCCCGCCACCAGCCCAAACCCGAGTAGTGTCCGAGGTCAATCGTGGGAAAACGCTCCGGGTAGTCCAAGCGTCAAGGTCTGAGAACAGCTTGTGCTTGGCCATATGGCTCCTGTGCATGAGAGGTTTAGACGCCAAACTAAAGGTACACTTGAGGACATCAGAAGGTCTGCTGCGGTTCCGGCTGCGATCCTTCAGCCGCTCACATCATGTGAGCAGCAGGGCTTGAATTATCAATCAAAATGGAAGTCTGGCATTCTGCATTCTCGTCTCATTCGCAGCATAAGGCAAATCATATTTCCCAAATCATATGTGATTCATCTCGCTGCTTTCCCTTGATATTTCGGCAGAACAACCTGAGCAACAATGTACGAAATTGCTGTGGCTAGTGCTACCATGACTGGACCATGAAAGTCTGTTTGCATTTCAAGCGGTGAGAAAAGGCTAAACAGCCACAACAGAGCTCAAACGCAAACAGCAAGGAAGAGCAGCTGATCCAGCTACAAATAAAGCCAAACAAAGGTCTCCAGACAAATTCTCGACACGTCAGGAACAGTCCACGGACTGCACGGCTCCTCCGAATCATGTGCATGGCAAAGCAGCAGGGGAGCATGGCAAAGAGGTACGACACAGAGTTGTAAACCTCGCCAACTTGCGAAGCTCTTGTGCTCCAATAGATCAATGTGAAGAAGTACTCCCACAAAATCACCGCCGCCAGGATCGTCTCCACGAAAAGCGGTGCCAGTGTTATCTTTCCCTCCGGGTTGGCAGTGCGAAAGGCCGCAAGCTCAAAGACGCACCATAGTCTCCTTCACTGCATTTGCGATTGCGATTGCCACAATCCATGCGCGTGATAGCGATACACAAGTGCAGAAAGGGTTTCAGCAGTTTCCACCTCTCGCATACCATCCTGCTCCTGAGCCTAGGCACTAACCTTTGGAAACCTCGACTCGGAAGTCCTATGTTCTACAATCCACAAAAGGTGTGTGGCTTTCAGGCCTCTGCTTGTACAGGTGGAAGCTGAAACATGCAATTACTGTTCCATGCTCCACGAGCTGTTGTAAAGAGGGTCGCTGCGTGTAATTTAGACTTCGGCATTCGCACCGGGCTCTCAGAAGTCATTCGTAGAACTCCGAGTTTTTCCTGGGTTCTGAGACCATCCAAAACACCACTACCTACAAGAATCACGGTCGTCATGAGAGCCCCGACCTTGTCAACATCATCGTCTGTGCGTGACGCTTGCATCATCACATCGTTATTCTCGCCGTCCTGATCCAGATCAGCTACCAGCCTCGACAACCCCCTGCCGCACCGTCAACCAGCATTATCCTTAGCAACATCATCACCGTCGAAGCATGATCGACAACCATCACCACCACCAATCGTCGTCAACAGTAGCAACTCGCCTCACCGAGATGATGCCAAGATGGATGCATATAAAGCTGCGCTGACCACTGCCGCAGCCTTAACAAAAAGAAGACTATTGTCGGGTCCAAGCTTCGACAAGTAGGGCGTCGACCACAATACCCGAAGCTCGCGAGAGATGCGAAGGAATCCGCCAATGCCGTATACTCCCCTTTCCATCAAGCGCTGATCCTTGCCCAAGGTTCGTTGTGCTCTTGCACATGCTCAGGTTTCGGATTACAAAGTACCGACGCCGGGCTTCAATTCGCCCCAAGACAAGCGTGGCAAGAGGATAGTTCGGTACTGCGTTCTCTTACTGTACACAGCAAACTGCAGTCGAAATCTTAAATCGAAAGGCCCCAACTCCCCTGGCATTGCAGTTGTATGCATTGTCCGAGTTCAGGGATGTTGCTGTTGCTTCGTTGGGTTTGTGCCTTCAAGCCTTGCAAGGCTTCAAGTGTTGCCAAAACTCTTGCACCACCTACCCAATGGGCTGTGTCTCACCGGTAAGCTTGTCCAGAAGGGTTGGGGGAATCTTAAGTAGTACGGGTAGCGACACCACGAGGTTCGTCTTGCAGTAAGTCGTCCATCCAGTGTAGATCTCAAGCCACAAAGTTTATGCAGCTTATGGGTGTCTTCGAGAAAGCTGGCCGCATGATAGGACGACTAAACTCTCTCAAGCTTTGCAGATTTTCATCGTACAACTGAACATGACAATTTGCTGGCCAGTGGATGGTTGCAGGAGGTAGTCACTGGGCCGGACTGAACAGTGATATAGTTCAAGGCCCTGTCGCGCTTCTTCTGCTTGCGGCTGCTTTGCTAGACACCCTTTTTTTTGGCACCGAAGGTGGAGCACTGCTTCTTGTTAGCTTGGTTTGTCTGACACGTTGCGATCATTGTTGTCTTGTTGTGGGTTATTTCGGGGCCATGCCATAAATCACGGCCGTGGCATTCCCTCAGTTTCCTGTGATCTTGAACACGGTGGCGCATGTTCACCACTGGAGCATGTCTACTATCTTCGTGGCGGGATTTCTGAGTACATCCTTTGGTCCATCTCGTCTCGTTGCTCCTGCGCGCACTTGTTTATTTCTTGCTGGCGAATGAAGGTTTCTGAGACCGGAGATTGTGCCTTGTGTTAGACATGTGCCCTGATCAATCCAACCCATTTCGCTCAGTGCTGTGCATGTACACGACGTTCTGGTGTCCGCAGTTCAGTCAACATCGCAACACAAAACACTCCTTCTTCGGACTTCACGCATGCAAAGAAGCCTAAATAAGGAAGGAACAAAATCAACAGCCAGAAGCAGTTCCTGAAATTGAAATCGACCATGGATCCGAGGAACGGTATGTTCTTGTTAGAGATTTGCTGTTGCACTGTGTTGCGGCAGTTGTCTTCTTGTCTGTACGCTTCAAGGCCTGACCGGGTCTTTTCTGTTCTTTTGACGGGTCTACAGAGAGTTGGGTAGGTTTGGGTAGGTTCAGCTACGACACAAGTCAGGCGCTGCGTGCCTGCATGTTGTGTGCGCATGATTTCGCCAGCTATATCACAGATGTACCGTTGTTTTGAAGTTTTGAGGACTGTGGCGTGTGGTACCCACCAGTGAACAACACAGCACGGCAGCATCCTTCTACTTTAAGCCCTCCTGTTCATGTGCTCTCCTTCTTTTTGCATCTGGATTTGTGCAACCGCCAGGGTGCGGTCTTTTGGCCGCACAATCACTCTGAGCTCCAAGCCTGTGCACTTTCACATCCCTACTCAGTTGGGGTCTGCACGGTTGGTTTCTTTTCAGAGTTCGTCACAGCCCTTTGAAACCTAGCTTCCGTGCCGTCCAAAAGAAGCACGAAAACAAACATGCCACCGTGACCCTAGGCCGTAGCGACCCTCAATTGTGACCAAGGCTCCGTCTGATGGATGCTAGCCACATCCAAAAAGCAGGTGTCACGCGGCCGCAGCACACTGGGAAGGTACGGTGCTGCTATGAAGCCAGCAAAGGTGGCAACAAAACTTGCTAGTTCTATCCATGGTCCTACCGGACACATGGCCTTGAATTCCATTGCATGGGCCTCGATCCACCAAGGTGCAGGCAGAACTCCAAGAATTGTGAGCGATAACACAGCAAGCACTGTAATGAACCAGATCACAAGTACTTTCTGCGAGCCTGAATGAAACAACAGCGACAGGAGCTTCCACTTCCCGGGCGTCATCCAGGTGTGGGAAATGAACACGTCGAAATGTTCCACCGGCCGTGATCGGCTCCACAGTTCTGCACGGGACTTGTCGCTCAAATCGGCAGGAGCAGTCAGCCACAGCCGCCCACCCTGCCTGAGCGACTCTCGCAAAGAGAGGCCTCTAGCGATCTCGGTGTCCACCTCCAGATGCCCAAGCGTCGCTAAGCGCTGGAACTTGTCTGGGATTCTCTTTTGGTTTCCTGGGCCAAGTTCCCGCTCTCCTGGGCCCTGTTCCTCTGCAGACCGGATATCCACGAAGGACAACTCGGAAGCTGGACCGCTGCTTTTGGGTTGCGGTGCTTCATCACGCGCACTTTGCAGATGGCTCGCGTTCTGTCCCATGGCTCATTGCTGTCGGGCTGCTTCCATTCACTAGATTAGCTCGAGCAAGCAATGGCTGCACCCAGGATCCGTCTACAGGGCTTTAGGCGCGGGCTTGGGGGAGAGTGTAGGGTTCAGGCTTAGGGCTTCTGGCGACCATGTACAACACGAGGATCGAGGAACAGACCTCGTAGTGAAACCCGGAGGCAGCGCGCATTACCTGTAGCCCCAATGGCGCCTTTAGTTGATGCTACCTTACCAAAACATCCAATGTCAAGGTTCTTACAGTAGTCTATTTCAGCCAGTGTTAGAACTGCGTCTTTGTCTCCCGGCTGAATCGTATCGAAGCCCACAGCCCCGGAGTTAAGTGTGGGGCGTGGCTCAAAATTGGAGCGCCGCAGCGTGGACTTAGCCAGCCACGATCAGGCTCCATGGACGGACGCATGCTTGAATTCTTGGTCCTGCTGCGCATGGGGCAGCTTTCCAAAATAACTATGCAGCTTCCTCTGGTACGGCACTGCCATAAAGCACAAGATGACTAGCCATTTGCCGAACTGGGACTTTGAAATAAAGGTGGACTGAGCTGCAGGGTCAGTGAGATGACCGCTGCGCACTGTACAGCTCTGTTTAAGCGTGCTGCACTCAAGGAGTTCTGTACGATCTTGGAGTCTATACATACCGGCTGAAGATCACGGCCCCGAGCCCGAAACTGTCAGTTCAAAGCTACGCCCCAACCCCTCTTCGAAGCATTTGGGCCCCAGGCCCTGTAATTCTTTACCATTAAGCCCAAAAGCCTGAAAAACCATATGCCATATGCCATATGTCACCGCCAAGACCCGTAAGTCTCTGCAAAAAACCTGCCCCTAGAGTCCCTAGACCCCGAGGCCAAGATCCTCGCTCAGAGTCGCCAACTCATCCTCGCGATCCTCGAGGAGAAGCAGCTGCTGAGAAGGCCGAAGAGAAGGAAGGCCAGGGAGGCCTTCAGACTGCACCTGGGCTTCGGGGTCTGCGGATTTTTCGGCCTTGGAGGGGCGTGAAGGTGTAGAGCTTCGAGCCCGCGTCATTTATGGCTTTGCCCCCTTGGAAGTTGATAGTGTTGTCGGAGTGGAGGTGCTTTGCGTTAAGATGAGGACTACGTGCGTGCGTGTGTCTCACGGCCTGAGGCTGGACAAAACAGTGTCTGGGAACGGTGGGAGCTGTTCGTGAACGAGGGTGGGCAAAGACGATCGGATGATGCGGCCATGCCTCAAAATCACAACGGGTGCAAACCACTTCCTAAAGCCCACAACATCGTCTCGAGGGATAGCTGGTACATTCCCGACTTCAGAAGATGCTGAGCCGCATCTACGAGACAGAACTGCCCCTCAAAGACTGGCACATTGATTGTACGAAAGCACTAGCAAAACGACACAGAGACACATTTCCAACCTATCCAACCACGGTTTGAAGGGCTACCCAGGTGGTTTCAGGAAGGATTCGCCACAGCGTCTGTGCTGACAGCTGTATAATCCCTACTGCATGTCCTCCCAACTCCGCCCGAAGCCCGAAAGCCCCAAAGGGTAAAACCTAACCTCGCTGAGAAGGGGCGATTTCGCGGTCATGGCCAGCACCGTTGCAGCGAAGACAAACGCCGCAAAGATAAGAAAGACCAGCAGCCTAGGCACAAGTTCAACCGAGCGTCTGGGAGTGACCTTTGGACTTTGCAGCTTAGCGCTTGCATCCCTAGAGTTGAATGCAACAAACTTTGGGTCTGTGTTGCAGGGGTGGCTGTTGACAGCGTTCCAAATCTACAGTTGAGCTGACACCCACATCAAGCTCTTCTCGAGAAAAAATAATGGAAACGCAAGATCAAGGATTTCAGGCTGGGCTGAACGAGCAACGAATCGTGCAAAAAGACAGGACATGGCCATATCGAAATCCTGGAGCGATCCTTTGGCTATAGATCAATGAATTCGACCATATGGCTTCAGATTTTTTTAGATTGTGTGCGGGCTCTTTCGCTGAATCGGATTTGGCCAGATGGCTAAATTGCGGCTTCCGTTAGCAGAAGCCCACAAGTCCATGCGGTTCAGGGTTTTGGTGCTCACATTGCTGTCTGTGCGCAGTAAACAATCAGAAAGCTCCCAAAGAGCTTTGATCCGGCCCCGCCCTACCACCCCAAGCAGAGTCTCTATTTACGTGTCTTGACATGGATATCCTGACTCTGCAGCCCTGGAGTCCGAAAACCTATAACCTGACATAAAGCTTGAAGATGCCAAACCCAAATCCTAAACGCTCGGCCTTGGCCTAAACCCGAGCCCCAGCAGCGTCTGCAGGTAGTCGCGGGCATCGCTCCACCGGGGCTGGGCGAAGCGATCGCAGAGCCAGAGGCTCCTGGGTCGACGTCTAGGGGGTTTTGTTGGGGTTCAAGGGTTTAGATGGATTTGTGGTTTGGGGCAGATTCTATCAAACTCGGACCAGCCAGATAGTAAGTCTCAGGCCAAGGCACAGTTTGATGCTCAGCCGCCCCCAAACAAGCCCGAGGCTGATTGAAGAAACCCTGGGCTGAGACAGAAATGTGGATCACTGGTTGATAAAGTTGATAATAGCAGGACCTGACTAAGTACCTACTTGAGGCACAGGGCCGGAGTCAGCAAACAAAGTCAAAAACAGCGGGGGCATGGTCAGCAAACAACTCGGACACAAGTCACAAACACCGCAGACGCAGTTTGAAATGCTCAAGGCCACTGTCAGAGGCACCCCCGTCCGAAATTGCAAACATAAAAAGGTTGCCCCTTGCCCCTGCAAATGCATTACAAAGAAATTGAAACACTGGTGGAAGAGTTAGGCGCAGTATTAATCAAAAATTAACCGACCGAAGCAGATGCCAAAAACCCCGCAGAAGCAAAGAAACTTGCATTAGAAGTGTATAACATAGCAACTACGGAGCCTTATGGTTTTCTGCTTATTAACTTGATGAAAGCAGATGTAAATGATAGGTTTTATAAACGGCTCGATGCTAAAATAGTTATTGATTAACAAAAACTATGCATACACAATTGCATTCTGTTGTTAAATCAATGAATAACTACATAAATGTCATAGGTGATCGTTCATAATATATGTTAAGGACTCCTCAACCCATTGAATCAGGGATTTAGACTTTTCAGGTTTGGGTTTAGGTTCAGGCCCGACCCCAAACCCAGCCTGTCTTTCAGCCTACCTTGCTGCGGTAGGAGCAGCATCTGAACTGCAATGGCAGGATGGGGGAGGCCCCCCAACCAAGCCCCGCAGATCACTGTCCTGAGTCGGACGGTTCGATGCCAAAAACGCTGCTAGTTCAGAACTGGTAACTGGTTGTAGTCGAAGGGATCCCGCGCCTGACCTCTCAAGAACTACCTCTTGCCAATAAACCATTCTCGTCGCTTTCTAAACCAAGGTAGAATCTGAGCCGTGCTTAGGTTCGGCTGTTCATCTGTGTTTTAACTGGCTTGTTCGAAGCGCAGAGTTGCCTAAAAGTGACTTCAGATTTGCAGCGGCTTTTGGCGAATCTTGAAGAGACTGGGTGCCCCAAGCTATTCTAAGAGGCAACTTGCACGCTTCAGGTTGTGGAAGTGTACCAGCTTCCTACTTACTACTTCGTGTTTCGTCCTGGGTCCTGAGTGCTCTAAGCCGTGCCAACAACCTAAGCAGGAGCCTCCATACCAGCAGAAGGTGATCCTGATTTCCGCCGCACTTGGGCATTAACCTCATAATTTTCACTGTATGATTATGTATTGCTACTGTGGTTCCCCTGCGGTTCGATGTCGGGCAAAATGCACGTCGCAGAACTCCAGTGTCAGCAGTACTGCCTGCTAACGCCTGAAATTTCACAACTAACACCATTGCGACCAAAGGCTGGAGCTGTACCCATAGCCCCTGGCCCGCTCTCAGCTTCTTGGTGAGACTCAGACTCGCAAAACCAACGACACCAAGACTTTAAGACCAGGAAACCGAAGAGTAGGTTGAGGCGGTGAGCATGCAGAGCTGTGAAGTTTTTGGCTTTCGAGACTGGCGAGGTGGGGTGAGGCAGTGCGAATGAGCAGTCGGCAAGCATGGACCCTATTGCAGCTCCCAAGTCTAGGGAGGGTTCAATCTCCAACCACGGCACGCAAGCCTTACACAACCGAAACAGAAGCGGAACACAAATCTCAAGCACGCGACAAGACGGAGGCAGCCACAGGCGACAGCAGAAGCAGCTCATAGTCGAGGAAGGTGCAGCAATGTGCACTGGCCCCCAGTTCCTGGCCGCCTTAAGGCTTTCCATGGCACAGGTGAGATATCCAGCGCTACATAGTAAAACGGGTTTTTTTGTGTGTGGGGGGGGGGTTCAGGACGGGTACTCACAGCCATGCTCCTGACTCCTCCGGCGTCCTTTGATGGAAGTTGCTCAAAGCTTCGGGGCGAGGAGCCCAAGAGACTCCAAGTTCCCTTGAGAAAACAAGCCGCAACGAAAACTGAAGTGGTTCCTACCTCAGCAAGCTGATTTTCGGTGTTGTTCCAAAATTAGGTTGAGGTGCCTATCTTGATGCCAAAACTAGTCAAGCCAGGCGAGGCATCACAAAGACCCAAAGGATTCAAGTTCGGAGATTTTGGGATCTCCGGGGTGAACTCACCAGAAACAGTGTACGGATTCAGCTGGGCTAAAGCCACACCAATTTTCAAGCTATTCCCCGACATGGGCCCCAAGGCATCCAAATGACACGGAAGACCTGCTTGATTGCAGGACTGAAGGGATTTGGCGGTTGCGCTGGGGATTATAGAGCCGCGGATTACACTTAGCATTGCAATGGCCAATATGTCCTGTCTCAGCGGGCCGCGGACGAAGTCGGTAAAGGCGCCCTCGCTGCCATACCACTGGACGATTGCAGTGCGGATGAAGTTCTTGTCGAAATCGCTGGTGCACTGCGCCTCACTGATGTCGAAGCTTTCCTGGAGCTCAGATGCTCTGCACATGTTGCAGGCACAAAAGGCTCCGAAATGAAACGACAAAGCAGTACGACTAGCCGAAGTCAAGCATCCAGCTTCGAAAAGAGCGTGTGCTTGACCACATGGACTTTGCGAAGCACATGCAGCATGACGAAGCTAGGCAGGACGCCTAAAGCATGAGACAGATGGAAGCAAACCTCTCCGCGCAAGGTCCTGAGACCCCACCAGATTGCCAGGTAGAAATACTGCATAAGCAAAATCATCACGACGATCGTCTCCACAAAAAGTGGAGACAAAGTAATTTTCCCACTGGGGTTTGCCGTCCGAAATGCGGCCAGTTCAAACACGCACCACAATCCTCAGTCACGGTGTTGCGGTAAGCATGCATGTTGCATGTTCAGCAGCTGACCAGTCGGAAGGGAAGGCTGATAACTTTGCACAAAGAACCAAATCTCTTGCACAGCTAAACCAAAGAGCTTGACAAGTAGGGAGCCGACCACAGCACTCGCAGCTCGGAAGATATGCTAAGAAACCCACCTATGCCGTAGATACCCCTCTCCATGAGATCCTTATCTGATTGGTGTATGCTGGCCACATCCACGAAGCAAACGTCAGACTGACGGCGTGTGCTCGGGAAGTAAGGTGCTGAAACGAGACCCAGGAAGGTTGCCAGAAAGCTCGCAAGCAGAATCCATGGACCGAAACGGATTGAGACGTCGAGGCCCTCTACACGCGTTTGGAACGTCCAGGGGGAAGGGAGGAGCCCAAGCAGACTGAGCGCGGCTGTAGCACCTACCCCGAGTACCCAAACAAAGAGTACCTTGTGCGAGCCCGACTGCATCAAGAGGGACAATAGCTTACACCTGCCCGCCGTCATCCATGTGTGAGAGAGGAAGACGTCGAACTGTTTGACTGGCCGGGACCGATTCCACAGAGCCGCACGGGACTTCTCATCCAAGTTCGCAGGACAGGTCAGCCACAGCCGCCCTCCTTGCCGAAGGGATTCTCGCAAGGAAATGCCACGGGCGATTTCGGCATCCACCTCCAGATGACCGAGCAGCGCTAGTCGCTGGAACTTGTCCGGAATCTTGGGCTGGTTCGAATCCAAGCTTTCGGAACTGGTCACTCGCTCACCGGCTTCCAGCGCACCACACACATCCGCAAAGGACGGGGCCGGTTCGCTGATACTGCCTTGCTGTCCCATGGCCCATTCAATGCTGGCACCTACGAACCTACCGTCGATGGAGAGAGGGTATAGCTGAGGTCATCGCAAAGATCGGACCCAAATACAAAAGAAAGTCACAAGCCCAGGTGACCAGCCTCTCTTTCTGCTCGGACCGCTGGCCGGCAAGACTCCGAGGCATGACCGCTCGCCACACAGCCGCGGGGCATGCGAGCTCTGTACAAGCACCTCTGGCTTTACACGAGGCCTCCAGCCAAGTTGAGTCAGGAGAGTAACAATAGGGGCAACATCTGGGGCAACAACCACTGCGCTCTGCGCATCTCTGCAGGGTGCCTTCCCAGCAGCCCTGAACAGAGTTCTGCGCCCTGTGCATGGCACGAAACTGTACAAGCTCCCAGAGAAGATCCATGAAAGATGGTTGACTGAGACTTAGAACCCACAGCTTTGCTGCAAGACACAACTACGCCGGCCCAACAGTGCCTATTGACTCCAGAGTCGCCAGCTCATTGACGTCAGCCTCTCCGAGACACTGCAGCAGAGGAGACCAAAGCCTTTCTGCCGCGATAGGACGGGCTCGGCACATGCTCTTCCAGCAAGCAATCCGTAGCGCTACATGCAGAACTGAGACGGGTTGAGATTTGCGGCCTTTTAAATATCTTTGCGGCATCTTTAAGGCATGGTATGGTAGAAGGGTTTGAACCGTACTGAGGGGTTGACGAGGGAAGGCAGAGTGTCGGAAGCTCCTAGCATTACGCAGGGCAAGCGACGAGCTGAGACTCTCATGCAAACCACAGCTTTCGTCTAGCCTATCTTCGGCTACCTTTCGCATTTGTCTGGCTGACGAGGTCTTCGTTTGGGGCGAGGGTTTGGGGCAACAGTCGCTGATTGCAACAATAAAATCAGAGGCACGGCTGCAGTTTCCGAATCATGTTTGCACTCGAGCGTTCACAGTCTAACGAAGATACTCAGAAAACTTCAAGCTGTCCCCTACCCAAGTTGCGCCTGGAAGCCCGTGCCCGAAAATGGCATGGTACGGCGGGCACAGCTATTGAGCTTGTTCTTAAGATGCTTACTTCTGTTCTTGCGAACTCTTGGACCCCCGATCCTCAAGACCGCACAACCCCCTTTGCCACCCTGAACCTAGGTATACCTAGGTCTGCACAACCCGACATTCTGCAGAAGCGGAGAAGCACAGGAAGGCCACAGCAGCTTCAAGGCTCGACCTGGCGCTGCATAGCCGGGACTTTCTTCGGAGCATTTCGGGGAAGGAACTGGGTTGAGGGCTGAATTAGAGTTAAAGGTTTAGGGTCTGAGGGTCTGGAGCTTAGCGAGTTTAGCGATGCCGGGGAGGCATGTAACTTGCGATCCAGGTGCGCAGAAAATCCATCTTTAAAATGAAAAACCTACTGCTCGAGACCCCGATTCAATGGTATGGGATGGGTGGCGCGACGCCGGGCTCTTCTTGAACTGACGTGGTCGTCTCGCGACCCCGTCCAAATGCCTGACTATGAGATGGGTGGTGTGACGTCATGTATGGCCCGGCCCTACTTTAGACGGGGGGTGGCCCCTGCTTTTAGAAGCTTACACACGTAGCTTGCACTTCCTTAAATTTAAAAGTGTGGTCAGTCACGAGCTCGGTCATCTTAAAAATGTACGAGTTTCAATGGTACCAAAACGATTTACAAGGCTGGCCGCCCCTGAATACCACGGACACAGAGCTGAATGCGACAACACATTTATGCTGAGGAGTGCATGATAAGGTCTAGCTGCCATCAACGCAACATACACCGCATCACACCTCCCAACCCATAAACGCCCGAAGCCCTGAATCAGAAGCTCGGAATCTTCAAGCTCAGAGTCTCACTGACTACCCCAGGGTGGAAGTCCTAAAGCCACAAGGCTGAAATTGCCGGGGGAACGTGTGTGCAGCGATGGACAGTGCCGAGCCCGTGAAGAAAACGGCTGCAAACACCAAGAAGAGGAGGAGCCTGAACAGAGTCCGCTTCGTTGCCATGTCGGCCTTGTGGGCTGATTTTGTTTTTGGTGTAAGTGCAGACCGCAGAAGGGTTTTTCATGCTCCTTTCGCTGGGCTCCATGATGTTGAGGACGCTTCTGATCATGACGATCACTGGCGATAGTGACATAGGCAATGCTTCGGTCATGGGATTGCCGACTCCAACTCAAGGCGAGAATCGTTTGGAAATAGTCCACAATGCCCTGCCAGCGGGGTCTCGCGAAGCGGTCGCAAAGGAAAAGGCCCCTGGCAAGGTCTGAGAGTCTACAAGCTTCGGCCCACAAAAGTATCAACTGCGACCGACTGCCAGTCATTCGCGACATTTGCCGCCGCGGTTCCATTCTGACTTCGGTTCGGTTATGGTAAACTCAAAGCTCATCTTCTGACTCATGGCCGCTAGACCGCAAAGCTCCTGAACCCCAACAGCTGCACTTGCAGATGAGGTGCAGTTGCAGGCAGAACCTTACCCAAACGATGCTGAGACCCAGGGTGCTGCCGATCCTGGGTTCTGGGCAGGGTGGCTCCAAGTGTTGCGAAGTCCAACCTCTCGAGTCTCTTTCGAGCGGTTTGCGCCTTGTTCTGAAATTCTCTAGTTCCTTTCGAGTGGCTTGCTCCGTGTTTTTTCAATTTCTCTTAGTCTCTTTCGAGCGGTTTGCTCCTTGTTCTGAAATTCTCTAGTTCCTTTCGAGTGGCTTGCTCCTTGTTGTCAATTTCTCTAATCTTTTTCGAGCGGTTGGCTCCTTGTTCTGAAATTCTTTAGTTCCTTTCGAGTGGCTTGCTCCTTGTTGTCGATTTCTCTAATCTTTTTCGAGCGGTTGGCTCCTTGTTCTGAAATTCTTTAGTTCCTTTCGAGTGGCTTGCTCCTTGTTTTCAATTTCTCCACTCTCTTTCGAGCGGTTGGCTCCTTCTTCTGAAATTTTCTAGTTCCTTTCTAGCGGCTTGCTCCTTGTTTTCAATTCTCTAGTCTCTTTCGAGTCGCTTGCTCCTTGTATTGAATTTCTCTAGTCTCTTTCAAGTGGCTTGCTCCTTGTTTTCAATTTTTCTCGTTTCTTTCGAGCGGTTTGCTCCTTGTTCTGAAATTCTCTAGTTCCCTTCGAGTGGCTTGCTCCTTGTTTTCAATTTCTCTAGTTCCTTTCGAGTCGCTTGCTACTTGTTTTGAAATTCTCTAGTCTCTTTCGAGTGGCTTGCTCCTTGTTTTCAATTTTTCTGGTTTCTTTCGAGCGGTTTGCTCTCTGAACTTCTCGAGTGGCTTGCTCCTTGTTCTCGATTTATCCCGTCTCTTTCGAGCGGTTTGCTCCTTGTTCTGAACTTCTCTAGTTCCTTTCGAGTGGCTTGCTCCTTGTTTTTTTCAATTTCTCTAGCCTCGTTCGAGAGGTTTGCTCCTTGTTCTGAAATTCTCTAGTTCCTTTCGAGTGGCTTGCTCCTTGTTGTCAATTTCTCTAGTCCCTTTCGGGCGGTTTGCTCCTTGTTCTGAAATTCTCTAGTTCCTTTCGAGCGGCTTGCTCCTTGTTTTCAAACTCCCTAGTTTCTCTCGTCTCTGTCGAGTGATTTTCTCTATGTTCATCGAAATTTCTAAGTAGCTTTGGA